GGGGGGGGTAGTTTGGGTATTATTTATTGTTCCAGGGACATGTTCACACAGGCAATTTGCTTCTTTTCTTGAGTTCAGGTGATTTCGGATGGACGGCTCGCACAGAGTACGCACATTGCTGCTAAACCATGTCATTCATTGATTGGTAAAAAAAAAGAAAGAGAAGATTGTGTAGATGTAGACAGAGCTGACAACCTGAGATAAGATGATATCATATCATATTATTGAACATAAGGGAATAAAAATAATAATAATAATAAATGCAAAGAAGAAAAAAAAGGAAGCTGTCGTTTTGATTGATCGATTGATTGACATTGACATGTTTTTTTTTCTACTATTATATGGATTGATCTCTCTCTCTCTCTCTCTCTCAATCAAGCATGAAGATGATAAAGAGTCAGTCGTCCTATTGAAGCTGTTAAAGTTAGATTTCGATATTTCGATAGATTGATAGATTGATAGTTGTTGAATCATTTCAAAGAACAGTGGTTGTTTCTTCCTTCAAGAATGGATATGTACATACTGTACAGTACATATGTATGTAGAAGATTCGCAGTCATACGAGAAGAATCAAAATGATAAAAAACAAACAATAACAACAACAATAATAATAGCCCTCGCTGAAATCAAGTAGTGTATCTGTCTGTGTGTCCATTCTGTCGCCGGCTCGCAGCTAGTCGGCTGGTTGGCTGGTTGCCATGAGATAGATTATTTTTTTCCGCCCTCAGTCAGGCAGGGCAGGGCAGGGCAGCTTTATAGATTCGTAGATTTTCTGAGCTACAGAAAAAAAAAAAAACAAAGAAGAAGAAAGAAGGAAGACAGCCCTGGAGGCCAGTGGACAGTCCCAAGATCGGCTCGACTTGGTATCCATTATCCCTACTCCGTACAGTAGGTACCTACCTAACATGAGATTGCTTGTCCAATCATCTGCATCTGCGTCTGTTGACACAACACAAGACTGAATAGTAATGCAGGTTGCCATCTGTTTGGATACTGCCTGCACTAAGAATGCTAAATCAGGCTGCAGCGTTATTGCTGCGAGCCTGCATTTGTCCGTAACTATTACCTCTTACGAGATGATAGTGAATAGGCTCAATTTAGGTTGTTCGGGTGTGCGGTATACCACGTGTTCAGTCATCCGATCGAGTCAATTATCCTTACCTTCAGGTATAAAAATTTGTTCTGGGCGGATTAAGGCCTTGTCGATTACGACCACGAAGACTTGGAGTGAATACCTGTCAGCTTCTTCTGCTTACGACTCTACGCCCTATCGACTTGACAACTACCCCTCCCAAGTCTAGCAAGTCCAGCAAGTCTAGCCTTGATAAGTACGCGGCACGCCGTGTTGGATCAGGTGAGCCATCGGTTAAAGCGACCATAGTCCTCGCGGGCTGAGTTGCCACAGCTGTACAGCGATGTATAGAGTAATGTCGAGATCAAAGCGCGCCCGTCAACCCTGCAGGACTGTCACCGTCGGTGGTGTACGGCGAGAAGCAGGGAATCGACCTCGGGAAGGGATGCCAACTGCGGCTGACTTTCAGCATGGCTCCCATGCGCGCGACGCGACAATGGGTTTAGTGGAGAAGAGAAGGCCGTCGACGAGATGCCATCTCGGCCAAAGAAGACCCTAATGACGCCCGCGACCGCAGAGGGGGTCTAGGCAAGACAGCCCCGGGAACCTTGTCAGCAGCAGGGTTGGATTTCACATCACCTGGTGGATGGTTACTCGACAGGGTCTGCCCGAGTACAGGATGTAACAGTGAAAGGAGACCTTGTTGTATTGGCCATAAGGTCGCCCATGATGAGGTCTATCGGTGAAAGAGGTCATGGAGGTCGATGACCCGTATCCTGAGGCAAAATGATCGGAACTGCTGGTATTTGGTGACAATTGACAAACTTATCACTGTGCATACCCACCGTCGATGCTCCCTGCATTGTGGTTCTTGCTCTGCGTAGCCGTCAGCATTGGAGCAATTGCAACTCCTGTTCAAATTGTCTGTTCGAACTGTCGAGCTGTTATTATTCTTGTTGATTATTATTGTTGAGCGAAGAGACGTCGGTTGGTGCAATATTCCCCAATGGCTCCGCGCCAAGCAGGGAGCCAGGCGGGACGAGTCGTTAGTCGGCGCCTATTTTAGCAGGCGATCGTCTGGTGGTGACGAGTCGTTTTCCGCGTTATCCACCGCGACTGCTGTTTGCCATCTTGGTCGATCCGTCCTGCCGGTTCCAGGACAATAGTCGACACGTTGTCAGCTGGTGAGGCGAAACACCGGACAGCGCGGTGCAGGACTGACGCACATACGCTCGGTAGGTACCCGGGTCTCCATCGCCCTCAGACTCCGGACTGCCCGTACGCAAACGGCCGACGCAGCGCGGAGGATCCGCGGATGCAGGGCCAAGAGCATAGGCAATACGAAGTCCACAGGCAGGCAAAATATGAATCATTACGATTCACCGCTGTCAAGAAGAGCAGGAACCACGGCCATCCGTTTGCTTGTCCGTCGTGGCAGACAGTGGCAGACACCGCCTCCTGCATGTGTGTTCTGTGCATAGGCAGCGATCGAGTCGAGCTCGCAGCCTGGCTTGCGCACAGAGGCTAGAGGCTAGAGGCTCGAGGCATTACTGTAGATGGCCCTCTGCAGCAGTCAACCGCAGCCACCAGCCATTAGCCCGTCCGGCTAGCCGGGCCCAGGGATGTGCAGTGGTGACGGACGCGAGGTGAGGCGGTGCGTGGAAATCCGGAGCAGCGAGTCTAGACGAGGCCAGCCCTGCGGGCGATCGGCTGC